ACTTGAAACTAACACGAATCAACGTTGTGAAAATGATCGTGGAAAAATAAATGATCGGAAATGAATAGATTTTAATTATTGCCTTGTGTTGTCAATGATCGGTGTTGTACGAACTTGTATAACGCTAATTTTTTACGCGCTTTTAGAACCTTTCGGTATTAAACAACACCTAGTTTTCTTGAACGTAGGTACTTCAACTATAAAGTTGAGCACGCTGAAAACGATGCTGAAGTTAGAATTTGGTGCTCGGGCTTACAGCTATAACAAATTGAAATTTATAGTACCTACCTATTTTCATATGCGCCTAGCGTGCGGTCACTCGCTTTTTGTTGCACTCGCTCGGACAATAAAATTCGAAAAAATCCATTGACTCGTTATGTAAAACCACCTTGGGTGTGTTAAAAACGAAATGATTAAAAACATATATGCACCCGGTGTGGTCACTCGTTCGCTGCCCTCGATAATACAAAATAATGAAGTTAATAACTGAAGTGGTCAAGGTAATAAAAGGTGTTCTTGAAAAGAAAAATGTGACACAAATTAATTTAAGTACATATTATAGTAAGTGTAAATTCTCTGTTTTGTGCAAAAAATGTAACGGAATCGTGCCTTATAAAAGTAAATAATTTTTGGTTTTTATTAAAAAATTTTTCTTATTAGGTACCTATGTATATTAGTATTTAGTAATAATATTATATTAGGTGTATATTTTTATATGATCTGACATGGTCATATCCTTATGATGGATAGTTTATGTAGTTTATCATGACGCGTTTTACCTATTGACTATTATTAATTTATAACTTTATCATATATTTTATGAAATGATCAAAAAAAGCTTCCCTTAATCCTTATGTTATACTATTCAATTAATGGTTATTGTTAACAATTTAACATTATCCTAAACATATATTATAAATGCGGTGCATCCAAGTTGGGTCCCGAATACTAGGGGCTAATCGCAGGTAGTGTACTAGTTGGGTGCCGGATTTTAAAAGGTGCTATACTAGATGGGTCCAGGGCCGCATTTAAGGGGGGGCGCTGGGTACAACTGCCCCGGGCGCCAGTATTTTAGGGGCGCCAAAATTTTGTGGTCAGAAATTTCTTTACTTATGAATTTTTAAAATTGTATAGTTTAAATTATTTTTATAAGATTATTATATAATATAATTTTGTATAATAGTATTATATTATATACCAAGTACTATGCCATTTGAAATGTATTATTTAAACAATCAATGTATTTATAGCAATATAGGCTATAGCTATCAGCGATCGATAATTATTAATACACCTATTAATAGTTCCCAAACTTGTTGTGATTATGGCAATGGACATCAGTTATTTATAATAATACGGCGTATTTTGCTATCGACTATCGTGTGCGGCAATTAATTTAAATATTATATTATAATATAGTTTTGTACTTATGATTAAAATAAAGGAAGTTCCTAAACAATGATCTTGAATATTATTCTATATTATAAACATTATTAATTTAAATAGGTAATATTATTTAATTTTTTACTATTAAGGTTTTGTTTATTATAATCATTATTTTTTGTAATTTCTACAAAATTAAGTAAGTAAGAATCAATTAAATTATAGGTACCTATGTAGAGATTCAAAGATAATTAATGTATAATACATGGTAAGTTGTTATGAAACAAATTTATGCAGGTCACTTTTTTGTCACTTTTATGAATAAATTCAGTTATCGCTTTTTTAAATAGCTTTAACCACTTCTAGCCCTGTATATATTTACATTGATTTTATAAAATAGTATACACAAAAAAATATAAAATATTTATTTGCATAGTTGTATATAATTTTATTTTATTTATTCATGAAGATATGAAGTACCTACTTAAATATGTTAAAAAACACAACTTATATGATGAATTATTAGCAAGGTTCAAGTGACATAAATTCCAATATATTTTTGTGGAGGGATCAAGCAATTACTAAACAATATTTTTTTTTTAAAAGCACTCGTAAAACAAATATTCTTTACTCCACTCAAAATCTAAAAGGTTAATGAGGATCTATCTCACATATTTTCCGTGGGTGAAGCAATTTTTTTTTCACCGGAGCTTAGGGGGCGCCAATTTTTTTTTGCACCGGGGCGCAAAATGTCTAAATGCGGCACTGGATGGGTCCCGAATTTTTAAAGGTACTGTACTAGTTGGGTCCCTAATTATTATAGGTATTCCACTAGTTCCTGAATATTTTTTGGTAAGTACTCCACTATACTAACATTTTCATTCTCATTTTAACAGACTGTCTATGATCTATTTAGACCACAGGTATGGTTAAAAATGTTTTTTACAGTTTTTTTTTAAATATTAAAGTATATGTAATTGATAGTTAGTAAAAATATTATAATAATTTAAATTATTATAAAATAATATTAATACAATTTTATTACATTTAAAAGTAAATGAAAAGTACTTATACGTATACGTATAATATGACTATTGGGATATTCGTAATAAAACAAGACGTAAGTGATTTTCGAGCATTCGTGTAATAATTTCAGTGTTATCGGTTATATCTGATAATTTTTGACATATCTTATAATAAACTATCTATAACAGCGATAAATGCCGGTTAAACCCCGACGAGTTAGTTAGGTTAAAAAAAAACTGTAAAAACATTTTTAACTATACCTATGGTCTAAATAGATTAAATAGATCATAGCCAGTCTGTTAAAATGGGAAGAAAAATGTTAATATAGTGTAGTACTTACCAACAAATATTCAAAAACTAGTGTTGTAGCTAAAATAATTCAGGACCCAACTAGTATAGTACGCACTGCAAAAATCCGGGACCGAACTAGTGTAGTACCTAAAATAATTCGGGACCCAACTAGTGTAGCAATTATAAATTTGGGACCCAACTTGGATGCAGCCTATAAATGTATACCTATTCATTTTGTAGATACCCGTCCATTCATTGGCGGTACGTTGGTTGGGTTTATAAACAACACTTTCGGTAGGTAGGTCGTAGGTACTTAAACCGTGTATTATACATATATTGTATTCATGCAATTACGCATTTATGTAATTATGTATTTATGTAATTATGTAACTCTATGGTTTGGAATTTTGGATTATATGCTGAGATAGGTATAGGTATACTTACAAGTTACAATTTATATTACATGGCATGGTGGCTGTATTTGAAAACAAGATAGGTACGACGTTTCAAGGTTGCCCCGAATGCGTCAATGAGAATGTAAGCTAAAGGTATCAATTATGATAAAGATTTAAATCGTTAATCACATACAAAATGTTGTACTTCGTACCAATCTAGGAAAAAAACAACACGACAAAGGAAAAAAGTAAAGAAAAAAAACTACAACGTTTATAATTTTAAAACATAGATAATTAGACATTTAAATGTAAATATACTATTCGTAAGAATATATTTAAATAGGATAAATAATAATTGATAGCTGAGTTGGCCAATATTTCTCATAATAGGATTAAGTTGACGCCAGACCCATGCGATACATTACAATTTTTTTTTAAATTGTGATATTTTACTTAGTCATTACTAGGTTGAAAATTAAAATATCGTAAAAAACCAAAGATATACAAAAGTAATAGTAAGGGAAGAAATGTTCTTCCCTTTAATAGTTTGATAATATTCACTCAAAATATTAAGACTAACAACACAATACTCATGAGTCAACGAACTGCAGACTTTGTATTGACTCATTTACGTATTTCGAAGATTGAAAATCAAGAGGAGAGCGATTTAAAATAACAACCACTATTAAATCGTAAATGTATAACTCAAATTAGAACAATATGTCAATATCATTGCAGGCATAAAAAACTAGGGTGGCAATTGACCTTTGTCATTCCTCTAAAAAACATTGGATCACACTACATGCAACAACCACATACGATGAGTGTTTTTTCTGTCCATCTTCAATTTGCTCAAATTTCAAAATTCTAAAATGCTTCAATTTTCTACTATAGCATTATTTCTGTTGGGAAAGTGAATCTAGCCAGTACTTTTTTAGTGTAACTCAATAACTAATAGCCGTAAATACCTATTATCTAGAGTTAGAATTTTGACAACATTCATCATTAACATAACATTTTTTTTTCAATTAGTCAGTGAAGTTTTTATTTTCAAGCCTAACATTTTAATATTTTACAAAAGATTTCAATACCTACGTTCATCTATCTTTTACCAAAAATAAAGTTTGCCGGGAAGTTATATTAATTTTTTATCAGTGTTTGAATTTAAAATATCCAAGATATTGGATATACAGGTGAAATTAACGAATTTGAATTAATCGATTTTTGATACTTTGTTGTAATTAAAAAACTAATAAATGCAGACCCTTGACATTTTCACAAAATGTGTATGTCACCATTTTCCATACATGATAACATTTTTAAAATATTTTGACTCCTCTACCCTATTTATTGCTATGATTTTTTAAAATTATTGTCATTAAACATTTTAAATAAGGTTTTTTATAAATAATTCTTGCTGTAACCAAAAAATCTCAAATAGTTAGAGTTAAAATAAAAAACTTCAACTAGTTCAGATTTTGATGAAACTAGATATTTTAATAAAGAATGACAATTTTAGTTACATTTTTGTAATATAAAAATAGCATTTCAGGGAACTTGAACTTTTAAATTACATTACTATATTTTACACACACAATGACATTCTTATACGCAATGTTTACAGCAAAAATTAATTCAACCTGGAACCTGTATTTTTTATTAGTTGAAAAATAAATCAGGTACATTAAATTCAATGTCATAAAATATAGGTATTTAGTAACATAAGGTGACGAACCCAAATTGTTTTTCTTATATAATGATTTTAATCTTTGAATTCATATTTAAAGCATCCATTAGTTACCTCCATGACACCTTGTGTGCAGTAGAGCGGTACTCACTTGCCTCCCTATTTTGATAAATGATTAAATACTAATCTATAATTTTTGAAAAGGTAATTTAGACATCTATTCAGAGAATTGAATTTGTTTATTGACTCAAAGTTTTAATTACAATTAATTTCAATTAGGTACCACTTAAGAATTTATAAGTCTACAAATCATAAGTATTACAATAGATTTGAGACATTTCCTTTCAATTGTTCTTGATCTTGAAGATACTTATTTTTAGATCGTTCCAATTCTTTTACCCTGCTTCTTGCATGCTCAAGGCGGTGCCAAGCCATTTGGAGAACTTTTTGTGATGCATACCCACTGTTTTCATATGGCTGTCCAGTAGATACTTGGGTCAAGTAATTAATTTGTTCTGTTAGTTTTGACTCTACATTACCCAAACTCTTTAAGAACTGGTGTGATTGGTTCTCTACTTGTTTCAAACTAGATTTCTCCTTACTAAGTTCCAATAGTGCTTGACCAGCGCTTTGTAAACATGTTATTATGTCTTTTTCAATTAATTCCAGTGCTTGAATACGTTCCATAGGTGCAGCCATCATGAAATAAAAAACTAGAAAGATAGAAATCGAATTATACAAACAAATAAAACAACTATGTTCATGAACTCACTTACTGATTTACAACTTTTTTATACATTCAATAAACAATAAACTATATATTTGAATTCTTGGTTTGAATTTGTCCAATGTTTAATCAGTTACAGTCTGAGAATATAAAAAAAAATTTAATTCACGATCATCAGTAATCTAAAAAATAAATTAATTTAAAGACTAAAAACTAAAATGTAATAACTAATAAGTTGGTACCTATATGAATAAAAAATAATTTATTATTCTGTTAATCCGTTTCATACATATACATACAAAATTGTTTATTTTATAAGTTTACTGTTTTATATCATAAACAAAAAATTTGAGTAAAAGATTATGTTATCACAACACGACTAAAATATTATAGGATGTGATATAGCAGCTTTATAGCTTAGGTCAGTGCTTCTCAACCTATTATTTTACGACGACACCCTAATTTAGATCCATAACAATGGAAACACTCTTACAATCGCCAATTATATTGTTCTTACAATTGATGGAATTTGAAAAAGTAACAATTTTATTATTTTAAAATTAAACTTATATGTAAATTGTGAATGAGACTATCACCCCAAATATTGTTCTTCTCTGTGGATTTTGCCATCGCTTCCTTAATTTATAATATTTTACAAGTAGTATAATATAATCTAAGATCCCATTTTAAGTTATAACTTTATAAGGCCATAATATTGTCATTTAATTATATTTTGAAAACAAACAAATTAACAATATAAATGAACAATTTTTTGGCTACATATCACGGTAATAGGCAATGGTAATCGGAATAAAGAACCTCAGATTATGTAGGTACTTACTACAAGTTACCAACGGGCAACAACCACATGAAAAGATTGAACAAATATTTTTCAAACACTAATTCGTGTAATTTCCACATTATTAATAATAATTACAAATGTTTACTTATATAGTAGACATAGGTATATTTTATCATTAGAGCAATTTAAAATCAAGTAGGTATGTAGGTACTAAACAACCAATCTATGTTCAAAGTTTAATACAATTTTTTAACTTACTTTTATATTTTTCAAACGTTAACTATAATATGAATATTAAATATTAATTATAATTATTATTTGGCGACGCTTTTACAAGTTTTACTTTATAAGTTTATAGTTTACATAACAGTATTTAAAAGATTATAAAATTTAAAAAAATATATTTCTTATGACCGATACCGATACATAAAACAATATAAATAATTTAATAATTATATCAAACAATAGTTCATTTAGGTAGATACGTACCTATTCTTTTGAATGAACCATTAATGTACTCGTATGTTCTTTCAGATTAAATCAAACCGGGATATAAAAAAAAAATAATATTATTGTTAATGTTTGAAAATTATTTGTTATATTCGACTATTCGAGTGTAACTGTTGGGTAGCCGTAACACTCCCCTCAAGTATATTATATTTGTAATTTTATATTAATAATAAGGTACTCTTACATATTTACACTAACTTGAGTTTAAAAAAAATTGATCAATCATTTCTAAGTAGTTCATCACACATTTCTTTACAATTTTTCTTTTACACACTTGTGAGTGAGTAGTATTATGTAATCTGTGATTTTTTTTTGAGGATTTTCATTCCGCAATGCTAGGTGATGCCCATACGACGCCCCTGCCTAGTGTAGTATTGTATCACGAGTCTCGACAAACCTGTTGAAAAAACGAGAACCACTTGCTTAAATAGACAGCAAGATCTATAAATGATCTTTATGGGCATGGTCGCAAGCAGGGCCTGTCTCTCCCATGTAAATAATATTTGACGCATATAAAACTTATATAAGCATTAAGCGCTAGTCACTATTAGATAGTATAATAATTAATAAACTTGATGAGCGCATGTGTGAGATCCGCCGCATAGCTCATAGGTATTTTATCGTTGGTAGCTGATTGATTTATAGTAAACAGGTACTACAGATGTGAATTTTATGCTCGGAACTTGTTGCATTTGCATGTTTTTTGGGGAGGCTATTAGATTAATTGCCAAGTAAGCTTGAAATTATTTACACGACTCTCGGAACAAAATATTTGGAGTAAACAGTGCATACTCGATGATTTATCTACGTAATGTGAAGTTTTGAAGCCCTCTCCCATTATTCAGAATTGCATATAATACGGCAGTAAAGTTATATGAATATCAATAAATACACCAATTTTATAAATCAGATAAATGCAAGCTTGGTGAGAATGGTTAGATTATAGGAACTAGTTTTTGAATTTTTTTTATATTTTATTAATAATTTTTACCCAGAATGTATATCTAATAACAGTGACGTATTATCTACTTTTTCCCCCGTCATTGAGGGGGGGGGGGGGTCCAACAATTTGTTCAATTTTAACATTTTATAAGTATTGATATTAAAAAATGTAACTTATTTATTGTTATTCTTAACATATTTGTATAAACATCTATATTGTATTAAAAATAAAATATCTTTAGTTATCATTCTTTTGGGGTTATAGTTGGTCCAAGTTGCGTCCAGTACGGCAGTACCTCTGTAAATAAACCACAGCCTGGTACTGTACAATACACACAGTGATCATTCAACTTTCGTCATAACCAAATTAATCAAATCTTCTTATAATATGTATTCTGAAATAACAGTAAGCAGATCTATCAAGTTAAAACATCCTATACAACCAAAAATAAATAAATGTATAATAAATACAAGTATACAACAAGAATTTATTTTGAATATGCCAATGTAAATTCATAAAGATATTAACCAGAAACAATAATTACACTATTAACTGTAATTTGTTAAAAAAATAACAATAAAAATATTATTTTAGAGTTCCAAATATATTTTGTTTTGTCAAGAACATTTATAAGTCTTGAGTAAATCATGCCGCCAAGGCGCCAAGACATTTTGTACAGTTCAAAACAGAACATAATGATAAGTATCAATAACAATATAACACATTTCTTAAACTACATTAATTATTATAGTATTTATATTTTAGACACAGTACGAATACAGAACACAAGTTATTGCTATGTACAATAATATTAATGAGATTGACTAAGTTGTTAAAAAAATATTATTGTACATTTTTTTAAAAATTGACTTTGTTTGTCATAGTTTGGAAGCGTATGTATATTAATTTACCAAAAACAAAATACATTGGTAGGTAAATACTATAACATATTTATGATAATGAACCTTTCAGTCTCAAAAAAAAAAAAAATAATAATAATAATAAATAATAATAATAATAATAATAATAATAATAATAAATTAATGATTGTACAGTCTTGTATTAAAATCACTTAACAATGAAATGTAGGTTATTTGGTTAAAGCTTACCAAATACTTCACTTTTAACAAATTTTGTATAATAGAAAATACCTATTTCCTAAAAAATCAGATGGCTATAATTCAAAATGTTGAATAGAAATATATTTTGTTTTTACATTAACTAATTAAAATAATTAGTGAAAACTGAAGTTTCATTATTTAAATAAACATTAATTATACACAGTATAAATGTGAAATTTAATGCATTAAATAAATAACAAGTAAAAAAATATGTCTATTTCATATGCTTAAAAATTTTTAAGTAATAAGGCCAATACAATAATAATAATTATATATATATATATATATTATAATTATTATACAATAAATATTACATTCCAATACGACCATTATTATTGGGGCAACAATTATGAAAAAAATATAGAATAATTTGTTAAATTGTATGCTTAAAGTTATAATCATTAATTTAGTTTTAATCTGAGCAATTTATAACATATTGAAAAATGAATATGAATTATTAAAATGAGAAAAAATAACATAATATGTGTGTAGCAACAGAAACTCATGAGAACTGGACCCAATTGCGAGAAAAAATTCTCAATTATTTTTTATACCAAAGTGAGGGTCAAATGTTGGGGTAAAATTGCCGGTGAGAAGGACAGAATTACTCTGTTACCCGTCAAAAGTCAAAATCGTATCAGAAATAATCTGCCCTCCAAACAGACAAATACGTGAATGTTGACCCTTCACTTATTATTAAGTATCAACGTCAATTTCTTTTTTTTTTTATCAATAATTAACAACAATATGTAGTAAAATAATTAAATTGGCCTAAAAGATTAATTTGAAAAGGTGAACTTAAAAAATATATTTTACGTTTGACATTATAAAAGATAATTCGAATAAAATGTTCATTAGATGAATAATTTTTTAAAAAATGTCATCTTTTAAAGCTAAATAATGTTAATATAATTTATTGGCAGTGCAAAATTTAAAATTTTTATATTTAAGTTTAATATATTAGTACTAAAAATTTTTAACATAAATTTAACTTTATTCATGTGTATAGCTCAATAAGCAAGCCATGGATGATTAATGAGAGATTCTTTACTACGATCACCATAATCATAGGTTAATTCTTCATCTCGTTTAATATCAGATTTTGCGATCAAAACAATCCTGGGTCGTCCAGCTACTTCTACAACTTTAGGTACAAGATTACCAAATCTTGAATGATTCACAAGTCTGCCAAGTCTTGAACTTTCAGGTGTTGCATCAATACTAAAACATTTAATAGGTTATATATGCCAGGTTATATTTGATTTATATTTTAAAGTTGTTATCATATGTTACCATTTATACTTATTAATGTTGATTTGTATACCATCCATACAAAATCAATAAAAAGTATTATACAATATAATATAAACAAATTAGATTTATTCTAAATTACCAGTAATGTGTTGAACCATATTTGAAATAATACATGTAACAACCGGTGGTGGTATCTTGAGAATAAATGGCTTCTCTTTTACGAGCTTCTTGAACATAAATTAATTCTCCAGAATATTCAACAACATACTCGCCACGAGCAAAATCTTTACCTGCTATTATGCCACGACCTTTATTAGGGAATACAGTTACCTGTTAAAACAAAACAAAATATTAATTTACAAATATAGTATGATATGTATTTTGTTTTTACTTTTAATCCATCTTCATTTTGTGAGGCAATCGCTTCTTCTAAGGCTAATTGTTTTTCTTCATTGACAATATTTTTTGTTTTACGAGCGCTTCTTCGAATAGGAAAAAATGCGGTGACTTTTTGTTGCTTATTATTAGATGTATCGTTTATATGTTTTACATTTAAACTACAAAAATACATAAACATTACATTCATATTGATTTATTATC